TTCTCAAATGTATCTTTTTAAGCGTGAAGAGAAAAGGGAAAAAAACTTCTAGATTATATTGATTTGAAGGCCTTCACTGTTCATTGATCTATGTAATTGCCTGATGTTTCCCTTATGTACCAGATGCCAATACCATTAATTAGCATGGTTTCAATTTTCCAAATGTTTATTCATTTTTATCTGTGATTCTGTTATGGATATAAGACTTTAGGACTCTTTCTCTCCCCTCCCCTCCCTCTTAAAAAAATCGAGAGAGAGAGAGAGAGAGAGAGCAACAATCTGGAAAATGACCTTGAAGCTTGTCATTAGTGGAAATGAGGTGTCACCTTTTTATTGATTGAGAGATCCAACTTTGTTATGTAAGTTCATAGGTGCTTTATAGGCATTATGATTCTAGATTTTCTCCAAACTTTGACATAAATCTTTCTATTCTGGGAGAGGTAAACTGTCAGTTTTCTATGAATTATTGTTTCTCCCTTACCACTTGTATTGAATACTAATCACAGCTGGTTGATTGTCTCATTATGCATGTCTATTAAGAAAGAGAATATAGTGGAACCATGCCCAGCTAGTAAGATATGTGAATTATTGTTCTCTGCCAGACTCACTGCAAAAGATGACAAATTTATGTCTGAATTTAAATAATACCCCTTGCGCTCTCTGTGATATAATCAAAGGCTGTCTACTTTAACTCAACTAATTAGTGCTACTGCTATATCTCTTATATATTGTAATCCGTGGAACTTACCCAATGATAAGAGAGGTAATATCTCTCCTAGACTGGAGATTAGAGGATTGCTTCCTGCATTTTGATGATTCCAAACTTGAATTCCTCGGACTCAGATTGCTTAATGATGATCATGTTGTTCCTTAAAAGTCAATTAAACTGACAATGTCAATATGGTTTTTCTGAGCATCCATAAAATCATAACATATTTATTGTACATGTCAGATTTATGAGTTATACTGTCTATTCTATATGCATGATCAAGTGTCTTTGAAGATGTAAGAGATTCTGATTGCGGGGACACATTTCTTGTCTAATCTTGCGCTCTTTGTTAATCTTTTGCAGATGCTTTCATCGGTGTAAACCTTGGTACAGACCTCTCTGACATGCCAAGCCCAACTCAGGTGGTGGCACTTCTTAAAGCTCAAAATATTCGACATATCAGGCTCTATGATGCAGACAGAGCCATGCTCCTCGCTCTTGCAAACACAGGCATCCAAGTGACTGTTTCTGTTCCCAATGATCAGCTCCTTGGGATTGGTCAGTCCAATGCCACTGCTGCCAACTGGATTGCTCGCAATGTGATAGCCCATGTCCCTGCCACCAACATCACTTCTATAGCTGTTGGATCTGAAGTCCTAAGTGCCCTCCCAAATGCTGCTCCAGTCCTAGTTTCTGCCCTAAAATTCATTCACTCTGCACTTGTTGCATCTAACCTTGACCGCCAAATTAAAGTCTCTACTCCACACTCTTCAGCCATTATTCTTGACTCCTTTCCACCGTCCCAAGCCTTCTTCAATCGCTCATGGGACCCTGTCATGGTTCCCCTGCTCAAGTTTTTGCAGTCTACAGATTCATATCTCATGCTCAATGTCTACCCATATTATGATTACATGCAATCAAACGGTGTAATCCCCTTGGACTATGCACTTTTCCGCCCTCTCCCTCCAAACAAGGAAGCTGTGGATGCTAATACACTACTGCATTATACTAATGTCTTTGATGCTATTGTTGATGCAGCGTATTTTGCAATGTCCTATCTAAACTTCACTAAACTCCCCATTGTAGTGACCGAGTCAGGTTGGCCCTCCAAGGGTGACTCATCAGAGCCAGATGCCACACTTGATAATGCCAACACTTACAATAGTAACTTAATTAGGCATGTGCTTAACAACACAGGGACTCCTAAGCATCCTGGGATTGCTGTTAGTACTTACATTTATGAACTCTACAATGAGGATTTGAGACCTGGATCAGTCTCTGAAAAGAATTGGGGACTTTTTAATGCAAATGGAGTGCCAGTTTATACCTTGCACTTAACAGGTGCTGGAACTGTGTTGGCAAATGACACTACAAATCAAACCTTTTGTGTTGCGAAGGAGGGTGCTGACCAAAAGATGCTACAGGCAGCCTTGGACTGGGCTTGTGGACCGGGGAAAGTTGATTGCTCACCTTTGCTGCAGGGGCAACCATGTTATGAGCCAGATAATGTGCTTACACACGCAACATATGCTGTCAATGCCTATTTTCAGCGGATGGCTAAGTCTTCTGGGACTTGTGATTTCAAAGGGGTGGCAACGGTTACTACCACAGACCCAAGTAAGGCATCATGACATGTTTATTTCTATTATAATATCATATAAGGCAGAACAGTTTATGAGCATAGATCATCTAAAACTTAGGTAGTGAAGAGATCAAGTAGAAAAGTAACAAACCACATAAAAAATATAATATAAAAGAACATCGTAGGGTTCACATGTGATCGTTTTCTATTTTATGGCATGGGCTTCCGCATATGATTAATTTCTGCACTACCTGTGTTATATTCTGCATTTTTGTTGGTGAAATTCTTGCTTTGTTACTGATATATTTCATTGCCAAATCTTGCAGGTCATGGCACTTGTATATTTCCAGGAAGGTACAAGTTGAAGCTTTCGTATGTTATTATGATCATATTTAACTCTCATGGGACTGCCAGAAATGATCTAACTAACCTTTTGCTTCCTTTTTCCTTTTTTGTGAATGTAGTAGTGGTGGAAGAAACAGTAGTTTCATTAATGGCACATCACTGGCTCCATCTTCAAATTCCACAACTTCTGGGTGCCTTTCACTATTTTTCTACAGTGGCGGTTCCTTCACAAGCTCTGTGATCATTGGTCTCTTAGTTTTGAGTGCAGTTTTCTTGTAGAACAACATGAATTTGTATTTTCTGCAACTCTTTTGATAGAACTGAAATATTTTTTAGAGATTCAGCTTGGCACCTGTTGGGAAACTTGCAGCAATACCCAATTTTGTACCCTCCCAAGAGGAATTAGGGGGTGGCAAGCTTGATTGAACATATAGCCAGCAAAGTGGTTGAAAGTGAGTTGCCCATTGGAATTTGTAGAAACAAATCAGAGGGGATCATTTAGGATTATTTTCTGTAACTACCTCATTTGCGTGATTTTCCATCAAAGGTAAAAATTCTTTATGCTTGACTTCAATTCGTCGGTGATGAATTGAAGAGATGTATTAGACCTGTGGACAAGTCAACCGTATCTTCATGTAAATCTGCCTGTTAATCTTTCTATCCTGGCTGTTATTTCGTAGATTTTGTGAGTATTAGCTTCAATGAGGAACATAAATCATCCAATTGTTCAATTAACAGTGCACAATCAAATTATTCAGTTATATAGTGCAAATCTTTAATGAACTTCGCATAGCATGCTTTGCGCGTTTAAGCCATTCCTCATCTGAAGATGTCCTACTATCAACTCGTATCAAAATAAAACAATTGGATCCTCATCATCAGTCAAAGCTCAAGACCTCGTCCTCTAAATATTAAAATTTGCACAACAAACATCACAGACGAAACCTGTTGACCCGGGAGGACAGGACCCGTTGTGGGCGTGTTGCTTACAATATGGCTTGTTGCATAAGTCACATTTGGGGAGCTGAAGCCAGCAATCTGAACACAAGATATCTGCACACACAGCCTCTTCTACTTCTTCAGAGTCGTCCACGCATCCACCGCATTCTTGGCACCTTGGAATGCAGAAGTTGCATCCCCTGCAATCTCTCATTGACCTTCCTATCTTTCTCTTGCAAGTCCATCTTGGACAGTCGAAAACCATCCTAACCTCATCGCATTTCGGGCAAACTTCGACATCGATTGTAGTGTAACCTTTGTCATGTCTGAATGTTGGCACGTCCCTGTGCTCATGGAATAGGAGAGGCCATGATCCTGACTGCTCTTGCTGTGACAGGTTCTCAAGATAAGGCCGAAGTGTTTCTAGGTGTTCTTTGTTTATGTTATAGATGCCATTGATCATTAGGCTCTTTAAACCGTGATGATGTTCAGACAATGTCTTCACAGCTCCTATGACTCCCTCAGGTGTTAAGCCAGTGCATCCCGGTAGGTAGAGCTGAATCAAAAGCAAACACAAAATAGGAGACAAAGAATAAATAAATAAACTTTTAATTTCATCTCTTTTAAATCATAAAGTAATTCCTAACAATCGTATCTTATCCACATCTAATAATTAATTACATGAGAAATAATTAATCAACATCCATACCTTGTTGATAAGGGGATTTCGCTCTACAACCCTTTGAAGTCCATCATCTGTTATCTTCGCACAATCCATTAGAGCCAAAGTTGTCAACCTGCCATTGGCCTTGGATGTGATTTTCATCAAAATCTCATCGGACAGCCTCAAGTTCAATGGCGATTTGACCACGATATCGAGCCATGACAATACATCCTTGTTTACTGCGTCTCTCAGTGACGTGCAAACTCCGCTCATGGCAAGAAGCTCGAACAGAGGAAGGTAAGCTGAAATAAGGGACAAAGCCTCGTGTGGTGGCCCTGCTTTTTTGTCCTGGGAGTTTTCAATTGCTTCATGTTCTTGCTGCCCCATAAACTGTGAAATCTCCATGGTTTTGGGTTTCAGCTGTGGCAGTGGTTTTTTTCTTTTCTTCCAGAAATGAATCGAAAGGAGATTTCACAGTTTGTACCGGGCTGAGAGAGAGAAGGAGATTACAACTCTGGTTTCGTGATTGGGACTGATAAGAACAGTTTGTGCAAGTTGTAAGTCGGTAGAAAGAAAATATCTCAAACTTTTCTTTCTTTACACGCAAATAACACTGCACTGTCAAATGCTATGCTACATTTAATCAAAATTTTAACAGCATTCTAAGATATGGATACGTCAGATACCATGGCATGGCTTCACAAACGTTTCGCTGCAACAAATATTTAACTTAACGGAAAACGAGTCTTTGCAACTCATTGGAAGAAAATATCACTCATTTCTGCTTTGAATATAAAGCTCATGAGCGCAGCATGAAAAACTACAAGAGGGTACACTGATGTTCGTAATTATTTTGAAGTCTATAATTTTACATATAAACTGACAGTGCACAATTATAAAAACGTCACGCCGACAAGCATAGAACTAAAATGGGTGGAAATTTTCAATGGTCCAAAGGCTCAACTGCTGTTTTGAAAAGAAGAATGTAAACCTTGTCGATCGAAAAATACAAGAACCCTCCAGTGGAATGTGTGACATACGAACCAAAGCTAGTTCCCACAATGCAGTGCCAAGCTGGACCATATGACGAGTCAAATTCCTGTCAAGTAATAAAGATACATTGTGAACTCTCTATATGTCAGAGCATGTTAGGGTTAAAGAAGAGTTACTTGTGAGAAATGTAGTAAATATATATATATATATAGGAAATTAGTCTTTGTGAATTTGATATCTTTGACGAACATGGCAGCTAAAAATTGCATTTACACTGCAATGCTTGCTTGCACAACGTGGGCATATTCCGTTATCAATATTCAAAGCCGGAAAACGATGTGAAGCTATAATTTATCAAGAAGTTTGTCATAAACTGAGGTTTATGAGAGTCTGAGAGAGAGGAATTCAATTTTATTCAAGAAATTGTTCTGGTAGAAGAACAGAGAATGAGAACTGAGGTGTCAATCAGGCATAACCTAATTTGCTTGAGACTTACAAAGCTCAATTCAAGTCTCAGAGACAGAAAATGCCTGCTTATTTGATAACCCATAGTAAGCTGTGGACCAAGTCCTTTCATTTCTCATTTTTCTCCTTTTTCTTATAAACACTCAAAATCTTGAATAAAGATAAATCCCCTTTGATTTTTTATCATTAAAAACCCAGATGGATTAATAAAAGAAAACATAGCCAGAAATATATCAGAACCTATGCAGCAAACATTGAGATTGAAAATCCTCCATATACATATATTTATGGTTATGTGCTTGTGTTCGTGCATGTATCAAACTGAAACTGGACCATTTGTAGTTTACCTCATTTGATCTATACCCATTACTCAAAATACTTCAATTAACAATGTAAGCATGACCAAGTTCGAGTTTTTAACTCTGACACACACACTACAAAGTTACAAACCAAAAGGATCAAAACCCAGAGAGACAAAGAAAAAGTATAATCTGATCGAGGCAAAGATGTGACCTTCTTAAGGGCAAGAGCGAGTCGTTTGCTGTCGAGTTTCCCCGGCATGGAGTCCAGGTGGTCCCTCGCAGAGCGAAAGGCGCGGTTTTGCAAAGGGGTGGGCATGTCAGAGGCCCTAACTCGGACATTGAGGAGGTCATGGTGGTCTTGTTGCTCTACAGACTTCTTCTTCTGTATTAAACTGCTGAGGAACTTGCTTCGCCTCTCTAGCTCCAACTCTGCTCCCTCCATTTGTCTGTGTCGATGATTCACTCTCTCATATCAGTCAAAAAAGCCTCTGTCTTGCTTGCTTTGAGTCAGTGGATGGCACTGCTTATGCATTCCATATGTTTGGAAAAAGGTTTCTGAGAAGAAAGAAAAGGATATAAAAGAGAGAAAGTGAAGAGAGAGGGAGCAGACAGAGGGGTCTCGATTGCAATGTTCTTTGGGTTTGGGGAGATTTTGATATATTAATTTTGTTTGTGTTTTCTTTTGATGCATTGTTTGTTGCGTATGGACGAGGTCGTTGGACTAGGCGAAGAGGAGACTACTTTTCCATACTTCGATTACTTGAAAGCTACAGACCAAAACAGACGGCCTTGCCGTAATGGCGCAAAGAATTTCTTTTGTTTTCTGTCGTTTAGAGAGAATTTCTGTATGACTGTCATAAACACTACTTCACCATGCTGTAATTTTCTTTTCTCGGAAGGAAAAAGAAAAAACATTTCACCATAAAAATAAAAATAAAAATAATAAAATTTTCTTTGGCACATTAGGCAAGAGGTAATACCAAAATATAATTTGTGATGAAGCTGAGCTGAAAGGGTGAATGGCCTTTTCAATGTTGGAAGTTGCAACAAAACATCTAAAACAATTGTGATTTTTGTTTAAAACAGACGGCCTTGCCGTAATGGCGCAAAGAATTTCTTTTGTTTTCTGTCGTTTAGAGAGAATTTCTGTATGACTGTCATAAACACTTCACCATGCTGTAATTTTCTTTTCTCGGAAGGAAAAACAAAAAACATTTCATCATAAAAGTAAAAATAATAATAATAACATTTTCTTTGGCACATTAAGAAAGAGATAATACCAAAATATAATTTGTGATGAAGCTGAGCTGAAAGGGTGAGTGGCCTTTTCAATGTTGGAAGTTGCAACAAAGCATCTAAAACAATTGTGATGTTTGTTTTTCACAAAGTGATATTTTAATTACTCTAATATACAGAAAGAGATATCGAACTCGAGTGCAAAAGAGATATCTGCATAACTATAGTCTATAACGTTTGTTTATATGTACCATTCGTGTCAATTCTGTTCTACTATTACAACTTTAATTGGTTGTACAAAATTAAGAAGAATACATAACAAGTAACTGAGCAGTCATCTGGAATGGGATTGAACCTTTTCCAGGAAAAAAACACGGTAATTGCGGGGAAAAAGAAAGGGGAAGAAATAAAAATGATGATAGGGTCGATTGGGGCCCCCTGAAATAAATAATGTTTGAAAAGTTCTGTGAATGTTGACTGACTGGACTAAAGTCCAGAATGCGTGGATCCCACTTTATGGTTTTCATCCCACCCAAGCTTCCAACTTTCCATGTGGATATACACTCAAACAAACTCACTGTCCAGCCACAGTAGTAATAATTGATTATTTGTTAAACACTGGAGTGGCGGATCCAGGATTCAAAAGTCAAGTAGGCGAAGCTTATGTTAAAAACTCGACGGTATGAGTGAATTTCATTAATACACATAAAAATATACACCTAACTAGACATTAGTGGCATACTAAGCCTTACCCTCAAATATGCATCTCTATACAAAACAAAGTTTTCATATGTGTGGGGGCTTCTCACAACATATAAACAATAAAAATTCAAATTCTCACAAGACATACAAAAACCTCAAAAAAAATCATATTATCTATTCATTACAATCATAATTGTCCTCAACTAATTTTCATATTTTGAAATCATAAAATAAAATTAAAATTCACCAACACAAGTTCACAATTGCAACAAAGGGACATACAACAATTACATACTAAGCAAGAAAATTTATGAGGAATAGGCAAGTACATACTTAGAGTTGAATAGCGATTAGCAAATTATATATATACTAAAGCTCAATCCACCCTACATTGTTCTTAAGCACAGTGTAATGACAGAAATGCCCCTCGTTTTAATGTTGTTTTCAATTTTGTTTTCTCTTCAGCATAGTGAATTGCTGAAAATGCCCTCCACTAAACCTTTTTTGCTCTTCCCTTTTTGCCCCTTCTCCTTTTATGCTCTTCCCTTATTTAATTTGTTTCATCCACTTTGTTATGTTTCTATTTTGAAAGATAACAAGCAACATATAAAACATGTTATTAGTCTTTATTTTGTAACTTAAACTTGCTACATATTTTCATAACTTTATATACATTTTAGACGGTTTTAAAACCAACAGCATCGCATGGGTATCTTTGCTTGTATCTCTAAAAGCCTAATAAAATCAATAGAAAGAAGAAATCAAAATTTCACAAACTAAAAAAAACATAGGTAGAGAGAAAACAAGAGAAAGATTAACAAACTGTAATTAAATAAATTAAAACTAATTAAATTTGATATGGAGTTTGAGAGAAAAACTCACAAGCAGTAAAAAAAAGTGTGATACATGTCTGTGCCAAGAAAAGAGAAAAAAAAAGGATAAATTTTTAACAATTTATGTCAAAAAGTCATACATAATAATAATAGGTATAAACCTTGGGGATATGTTTTTCTTCTCTTTATTTTTTCTTTCCCACTTGTTTAGTCTAGGAGCCACATGATTGTGCTTCAATCACATATCTTAATAGTAGAAGGCAGTGTACTTTTAAAGTGGGCCCTACATGATTGTATATGGGTAAGTATTTATTTGGGAAAAATTGGAGTAGGCGGTAGCCTACTATGCCTTTGGCATAGGACCGCCATTGGTATTAGAGCACACAAAAGGGGTTTCAAACCTCTGCCACTTTCATTCCTTTCCAACACCTTATTCACCATGTTACAAACAACTTTGTGACTATATGCTACACCATTTAATATTTATAATGTTTCTACAAGCCATTTTTTAAAGAAGTAGAATTTCTTTTTCTTTTGGGATATGATTTCCCCACTCCCCTTTTTTCCACTTACACTCCCTTTTGCTTTTTAATACTTTTTAATCAATTTTGTTCTTTCTCTTTCCTATTCTACCCTTATCCTACATTAATTTCTTTTTTTCTTTTTCTTTTGGTCTGAACCACGAGGTGGTCCTGGATGGACCCCAACTATGGGTGGCACCTTTAAGCCTTAACCACAACTCAAACTAATCCCCGCTCACACCGGGTCGGCCCATAAGGGGTAAAGTGCTGGCCAAAGTGGTGACTCTATACGATAGCAAGGATCGAACCCCTGACCTCTCTTAAGAAATGAGAGTGCCGAACCACTCACACCAACCACCTTGGTTACACATTAATTTCTTTTTACTTCACTTTTATATTAGTTTTTTCTCTTTATACTTAATTTTCCAACTTGCACTTCATTTTCAGTATTTTTTTTTTCTTTAATCGAGTAAGAAATTAAGTTTTTTTTTTTTTTTTCCTTTAATACTGAAAGTGGAGTATAAGTTGGAAAATTAAGTATAAAGAAAAAGAAATAATATAAACGTGAAGTGAAAAAAAATTAACGTAGGGTAAGGATAGAATAGGAAAGAGAAAGAACAAAATTGATTAAAAAGTATTAAAAAGCAAAAGGGAGTGTAAGTGGAGAAAAGGGGAGTGGGGAAATCAACTCCCTTTCTTTTTTGTCTGGACAAAGAAGTAGAATTTCACATGTATATAATTTGATATTTATATTTATAACAATTATATGCATAACTATTTTAGTAATTTACACATGTTTCTTTGCACATCATGACCAATTCTCACATTATTGTGATCATGAAAAAATTCTTAGTTTTTTCAAATCAACAAAACAAAAAAAAAATGCTCATGTCTAATTTTTTTTTTTTCTCTTAAGCTCTCATATCATCATCATTAATCTCACTCTCTCTCTTTGGTTTCTCCTACTAAAAAAAAAAATTGATGGAGTTGTTCAAAACCGAATTCCACTGGTTACAAATTGCTACCACTTTTTATTAAACAGGTTATTAACCAGGTAACTTGTTTAAGACAACTCAAACCCGACACGACACGTTTATTAAATGAGTGGGGTTCATGTTGAGCATTCTTGACACGTTTATTATCCTGATATGACACGAATCTGACACGACACGACCTTTTGCCAACCCATTGGATAACGTAGTATATAAGGTTCGTTTTTGTGTAGGGAAAATGAATTGAATCATTCAATCACCAATCCTCGTGGGATCGACCTCGCACTTACATACGCTATACTACCGAACGGCTCGTGCACTTGCGAGTATCACAAGTTGAAGATGCAGCTTAATCCATTTTGGTGCAGCTGTATCTACACAACAGCTGCCCATTGCTTCTTCTTTATTTGCCTTATATTTTCTTGCCTTATTTCCATTTATTTAAATTAACAATGTAAATAAGGAAGTCCCCCTCATTTGGATCCAATAAAAGAAAATACTAGAAAGTCAAATTCTCAACCAATCAAAATATGAAAATCCAATATTGATACCTCAATAAGTCAATGTATACTTTATACTAAAATCTCATAAAATCGTGTTTGATTATTTAAGTTGTAAGGAATATAAACCGCCCAAAATATCATTGAAAACATTAGTATTTCAAAAGTCTTTTTTTCATACTTAGTCAAATTTTGAGAGAAAACAGTTTTTCAAGCATGATGTACTTAGTCAAATTTCTATATTATTGTTTAAGAGTTATGTAAGGCTAACATTATTTTTGTACCTTAAGGTTGTAAAGTGCAAGCTATTGATAAGTGTGTAAGTGCCAATCTAGTTGAGATATGCATATATTTAGTTGTGCCAACCTAGATTACTACATATCATACTTGAAAAACTGTTTTCTATCAAAATCTGACTAAGTATGAAAAATGGACTTTTGAAATACTAATGTTTTCAATGATATTTTTGGCGACTTATATTCCTTACAACTTAAATAATCAAACATGATTTTATGAGATCTTAGTATTGTATATATTGACTTATTGGAGTATCAATATTGGTATAAATTGTATCTTATACTAAAATTGAATTTTCATATTTTGATTAGTTGGGAATTGAATTTTCTAATATTTTTTATTGAATTCGAATAGAGGTACTTCCTTATTTACATTGTAAACATAAATAAATGGAGTAATATAAAAATAAATATAAATAAAAAGACAAGATGAGCTGCTAATGAATCCAACATATTTGCTTATTTATTTATTTATGTATCTCAGTATTCTCATCACTTTAACTTATTATTTGTTTACACGACAGAAAATTCAACCAATAAAACTAATTCATTACATCAAACATTCAACATGTCATGCATCTTTTATTATATATAAAATCATACATGGAACTCCGAATAAACATTAATCCACTGAATATTATACATATG